AGAATCTTACGACAGTGTTACAAAGCTGCTCTTTCTGCTGAATGCAGCCAATAAGTCGACGGATGGACGGGCGGCCGCGTCTACATCGCGATCACGTACGCGTAGATTAGCGATCGTTTGTTAGGTCCCGGACACGCGATGACCGACCGCGAACTCCGTCGTGATCGTCGGTCCCTCGACATGAATTAACTCCTCTCTCTCTCTCTCTATTGAGCGTAAACATCGCAAACACGCGATAATACAAAACGTGCCGGAACCGGCGATCTTGAAATTCGCTCGGCCGCGAACATCGCTTAAGTGTCCCCATTACGTAACATCATATAAATAGGATTTGAAAATTTTATACGAATCCATTTACGCAACGCGAAGTATACTCGTATAAAATATATGTAAAAGCACGTATATGCGCGTTTCATGGAACCGAATTAAATTTCTACGCATAAACAGTCAGTTGTAGCTAAAGCGGAACGAGAGTAGCCTCTCGTGATTGAAATTCTGCGCGAATCGCAATGACAGATCGTAACGCTTAGAAACGACGCATCTGATACATCGGAATACTTGCCAATAAACCTCGCTTATTTACATTTTCTACCGACGTTTTCCTGGCGCTGCTATCCGTCAACGTTTATTTTGTTATCGTCTTACGAACCGCATTTAAATGTATCATCATTATGTAATTCCACGGAATAATCCCACTACGAACTCTAATTTAGTCAGATTTTTTTTTATACATGAAACAAAATGGAAAACAAATGTGCTGGAATACTTTTTCAAGTTCTATTTATTTTGGTACCATTTTACGAATCACATTTATGTATATTATTACGTAATTTTTATTTCCCAAAATATTTTCGGAATTTCTGACAGTTATATGAATTCTTTGATTAATTTACAGACAAATTTTTTTTCTAAGTAAAACAAATATTCTTAAATACTTTTTCAAATTCTACTTATTTTGTTATCGTTTTATGAACCGTTCTTACGTGTATTACATAATTTTCAAAATCAGATATTTTAATATGCACTCACTTAAATAAAATAAAATAAAAAACAAATATATTTAAATACGTTTTCAAATTTTATTCATTTTGTTATTATCTTATGAATCACATTTAAGTTATTACGTTATTTTTATTTTTACGAAATATTCTCGGAATCTCAGGTATTTTTTGATTAATTTACACATTTTTTTATAAGTAAAGCAAATATGTTTAAATATATATTATTTCAAATTCTACTTATCTCGTTATCATTTTATGAACCGCATTTACGTTTATTATGAAATTTTAATGAAATATTTTCGGAATAATATCAGACAGCTACAAAATTAATTTACAGATCTTATATACGAGAATAGAAGAAAAACAAATATGCTCAAGTACTTTTCGAAACTTCGTCAACGTTAATTTCATTATCGTCTTATGAATCGATTTAAATGTATCATTACGTAATTTCACGGAATATTTCAGAATAATCCCAGGCTGTTACAAATTCTTTAATTAATTTATACGATCGATTCTCTTTGTACGCCAACACACGGGAGTGAGACGGATATGCTTAAATACTTTATTTCGAACTTTGTTTTCCACAAATTTCAATATCTCCGATTCCATTATCCCGTCTCGAAGCGAAACATGATGCAACATCGTGGCATCGCATCCCGTCGATTTCTATTCATGATCGATCACGCCAGCGGAGGAAGACATACATCTCGCGACGAGATGCGCAGGAAAACGCATCGGTGCAATAGTCGACGGTCGTTCTCGCTCTCGTCTCGCTCGCTCTGCTCGGCGGAGTATTGGAATTTCGAAAAGCCGGGCCGCAACGTACGTACGTACGTACATACATACACACGTACGCGTGTGCGAGCATTCGCGCGTCTGTGTACGTGTGCTCAGGTAGACAGCCCTGATTTAGAGCATCCCCCAGTTGGCGGGCGTTTAACCGAATCGAGGATTCATCTCTCCTCAAAGCAGCGCGGCGGCGGACGCGATGCATGAACGGTGTGTAATATGATGAGCGCCACACGTATGACGTGTGTACGTAAGCGCGAGCTTTATACACAGCTGTATACACTCACACACGCGCATACACACACGCTCGCTCTTTCTTTCTCTCTCTCTCTCTCTCTCTCTCCCCCCCGCACTCCGCCTACCATTCTTCCCCCCGTCCCTCACCTACACGCTCGCGGCGGGTACACCCACGCCGAGCTCTCTACTTACGTTGCCGGTTGACTCGTGTTGTCCGGCGCTCTCCGCCACTTTGACTTGCGCCGTCTCTGTCGCAGCACCCGCGCGCGTACACACACGTAAGTCTATATACACCCACAGTCCGACATTCGGCATTCCCGCTACAACGCCGGTGTCTGCGGATCCGCGAGGGTGCGAGCGAGCGAGCGAACGAACGAACGGGAGAGCGAGCGGGACGACGCGAGGGACCCGACGGACTCTGGAGAGAGCGAAAGATTAAGAAACACGTTGGCGCGACGGAGAGCAACGGCAACGAGTGGCAGGCCAACAGAGAGCACGGGTGGTATATCTGTGACACGAGAGTGCGAGGAGAGGATACCCGCGGCGAGATACGAGCGGGAGCGAGAGCGACGAACGCAAAGCAGGGGTGTCGCTAAAGAGACTTTTCGAAACTTGCTCTCGCACGCGCCGCACAGGGCAACGTATTAATGTACGTACCGCCGAATTGATTCCCGCCTTGTTGATTGAAAATCGCTGCGGCAACCTGCAGTCGATCTCGGCGAGATGCGAGCGGCGGGTACTCGTGATAAACAGATAAACAATCGTCGTGTCAGATTTGAGAGATACATAGATGCAACGTGACTTTGATTCGAATCGAGTGGAACTAAAGCCCATTCTACAATTGCGTAAGCGTAGCTGTAAGAATTGATCAACCACAGCTGAATGTGAGAATATTCTTGATTCTTACAACTGCAACCACTTGCAACCACTTCGCTCACGCAATTGTAGAATGGGCTTAACAGTTTATTAATAACGTTTACATCGCGTTCTTTAAATCTCTATTCTGTAAAGAAACGCGTAGAAAAAATGTAAAGCAGTAAACGAATCGATCAATCAGTAGAAAATGTAAGGCGATAACTTTGCGTTCTCTATTGTGATTGCTTACTGCTTACGTTTTACTGCCTTAAGTTTTTGGCATGAGCTCGTAAGTCATTTACAATGGGAGTAATATTGGATAGTAAGCCGTAAGCTGTAAGAAATTGACCAATCACAGACGCGTATTCTCTCCATTTAACCGTGGTTGGTCGCCTGTAACTTACTACACCATATTATTCCCATATGGACAGTCTTTTAACGACTTCGTTGTTGTGTAGCTTTTTTTGACTCGTACAAGATTTGCGCAACGACAGTGTAACGATGTCATTATTGTCACGAATAGGGCCATCTATATACAATGGGAGTAATATTGTAGTAAGCCGTAAGCTATAAGAAATTGACCAATAATAGTCGATTGTTCTCCTTACATTCGACTGTGATTAGTTGATTTCTTACGATTTACTACACAATATTACTTCTATTGTAAACGAATAAGAATTACAGAATAGGAGTCTAAACGCTGTAAAAAAAACGCAATGTAAACATTATAATAACTGTTAGTTCCGCTCGATTTGAATTAAAGACACTTTAATTTCTTAATCTTAATCTTAATTTCAAGTCTACACTTTCAACGGCCGTTAAAATCATATCGGATTAAAAATCAACGATCTTTGGCGCCGCGAATGTCGATAGAAGTACAAAAGAATACATTCCAACACGGCCGTCGAGGTTTGACGGACATTATTCGATATTTCAAAAAATTTGCGATCGAAACTACGAATCGATGACAAGTGTTCCGTGAGATACACAAAATATAGGAAGAAGAGGACCGGCACTCCCCGACGAAAACGGCTGCCGGTGGAGTGGTAGATTGAATCTTTTTAACGGCCTTCGGGAAGAGAGAGAGAG